AGACTATTTGGTGTAGCTTTTCTTCCTCTTTGCAATATTCTTATTTACAAACCATTTTCTTTGTGGGCACAAAACAGTGGCCACAATTTCGACATGGTTTCTGTCACGGCGTTCGGAAGTCTGAAGTTTCGGTCTTAACTTTTGGACTAGCTGTGATAACAGATGGATAGAGTGAACAAAGTGCAGTACTATAAATTTTTTGAGCATCTCCACCTAGCTTTCCAGTATTTTTCAAGATAATTTTCACAAAAGCCTTCACTTTTGTGAAGTTGTGTTAAACAAGAACGCATCAAAAACTGAGAGATCAAAAATCAAGCACTCCAAAACTCGCTTATTATTTAACACCGATTTTACACAGCAAATGAGCTTTCGTAAGCCATGGTCTATGAGTATAAATATTTACGGATTGTGCGAATTCATGTCCGAAGGTTTCAGAAATCTGAAAGAAACATTCGATGTTCACTCAATGTTCGGTTTGATCGATATTCGTTCTTTCAAAATTCTTAGTTTTCGAATTTCTTTTGGTAGTCATTTGTTCGACATTTTCTGATCTTGATCAGTCGATATTTGTGCTCGGAGTATTCAGATTTTTCGAATTTCCCGAAGTATACTTGAGACTCGTTGTGGTTTGCACAGAGGAAAGAAGTAATGAGAAGAATCCACATCCACACTGTATTATGCCATACTAACCGTGACTGCACGTCCAGCAGCTGTTGCTATGAGGAAAGGAACACCAAAACCAATTAGAAAGTCTGGAATAGAAGCACCTTTAAGTGTTTTTTTTTCTTCAAAGAAAGGTGAACGCACTGAAGAGTGGTCCACCGATCGCGGCAGCCATTGCCATTCGAGGGTAACCTTGTCTCACCACAGAGATATCCGCTATCAAATCGCCAATACTGCTGCTCCAAGCCAAGATAGTCAATCCTAGTACCTATAAAGTGGAGTTACATATATTAATAAAAGCTAGTTTCTACAGCTTTTGAGATTTCCAAATATTTGGCAATGAATGTTGCGTATTCCGCCATGCTTATGGCATATGGCTTATATAAACCGCCACACTTATACTGCAGAGAAAATACGCGCACAAACTTACAGCTCGAGCCAGGGCTCGGCATGCGTTGGTTTGGAGCGTTTCTGGAAACGAAGTCCCCCATG